CGACTAATTCATAGGAAGGCCAATATCTATTTAAAAAAATTATATTTATAATAGTATTAAAGAAAAAATTTATTAAATTTGAGCAAGTATGAGTTAACAATAGCTTATTTAGTCAGTCGTGAAATCAAAAATAAATGAGCAGATTGCCATTCGTGTCAGAGATGAAGGTACAATAAGAACCCCTTAGTAGTGAATTCACTAGTTTAACGATGTGATTGGCCATCCACGACATACACAACTTTGCACAAGAAGGATAGATCATCAATTTGACGGCGAGATCTGAGAATATTGACTAGAGACTATTTTCAATTGCCTTAAGCGTTGAGATTTCTGTAGTTTTCAATCAAATTTATCAGAGTACCTTTATATGGAGATCAAATGACCGAGCTATATTCTAGTATAGATTGGTCGAGTAAGTAACAGGCACTAAGTAGCGAACGGGGATCAGAAAAACCTATGCAGGTTCTCGTAATAAAGCCCGACATCTTATATATTTTTCGTTCTAAAAATTTTTCAGATCATCAGCATTGAGCAGATAATCTGAATTGACGTTGGATCCAATATCATTAATAAATATTGTTACAAAAGTAGTATTAAGTTTGGTACCACTTGTATTTGTATTGCTATAGCATCCCTTATTATAAACATTGGGCGCCGCGGTTGTCTGTTTGTCTACTTGTGGCATAAACATTAACTGTATATGGAACGTATAGCATTATGTTCTTATAATTGCCAGACGCAATGTTCTAGAGGTACACGGCGGCATCAGGGAAGAGTGCGTGGCTATTTAAGTCGTGGTAGCGCCAACGTAAGGAAGGAGTGCTAAGAGTAAACTGCTATAGTGTAGACAAATTGTGAAATAAAGAGATTTTGTTAAAGTGAATTAAACGGTTTTTGGTTTTATTTGTCAATCNGTAAACTGCTATAGTGTAGACAAATTGTGAAATAAAGAGATTTTGTTAAAGTGAATTAAACGGTTTTTGGTTTTATTTGTCAATCCAGAGATACGAACCTAGTAAAGTAAACTAGTAAGGAGTAAATTCGCAACAATTGGTGTCAGAAGTGGGGTTGTCAAATAATCGAAATTCTAGATGGTTAAATTCGGGGAATTGAGAATTCAGCAATTAAAAAAGGAACTGGAGGAGCGTAATTTGCCGATAAGCGAACAAAAGGCAGATCTGCAGGCACGATTACGTGAAGCAATGGAAGCGGATGTAATTAATGTGGACCAATTCGAATTTGATGGCCCAGAAACTTCTACTAAGGTAGAAGAAAAAGTAGAAGAACAACGAACATCATCAAGTGTAGACATGAATATGCTGTTAGTGGCTATTAAGCAAATGGCAGAAGATGCAGTGCAAACAGAAAATCGTCTGGCACAGCAAATGACGCAAATAGATGAAAATACATCACAGTTAAAATCTCGCCTTACACAACAAATGACTGAAAATAATACGCTGTTAGAAAATCGTTTGGTACAACAGATTCCAAAAAATACTACACAAGTACAAAAAAAAAAATACAAGAGAAATTTTCAAAATTTGAAGACGAATTAAGCACGTTAAAAAATGACGAACAATATTTAAAATCAAAAGTTCTTCAATTGAGTAATCGTATGCTAGAACTGCAACTGCATGGCCAAATAACCAAGATTGAAGGCACCCACATTCGATGGAAGTATTCCATTTCAAATTCAAACTTCAGTTTGAAAAGACAGCAATGGCCAATAACTGGAATGCAACGAACAAAGTGGCGGCCTCGTTTGTAAAATTGAAAGGACCTGCGGCAGAAATCCTTCAGACTATTCCAGATTGTGAACGGGACAACTATGAGGCTTTGATGAGTGCGATAGAAAGACGATATGGTAGTGAGCACCGGAAACAAATATACCAGATCAAACTGCAAAATAGGGATCAGAAAATGAACGAGTCATTGCAAGAGTTCGCAACTGAAATAGAACGACTAGCTTATTTGGCAAATGCAGATGCACCTGTGGATTACATTGAGAGTGTGAAAATTCAAAGTTTCATAAATGGAATTCGTGATGTGGACACCAAACGCGCCACATATGCATTGCCAAAAAGAACGTTTGCTGAAACGGTTTCGCACGCCCTCACACAGGAAACAGCTTCTCTACTAAGTAAACCAGTACACAAAGTACAAAGAGTTGAAATGGAACAACCGGTGATGGAAGAAATATTGAAGACTCTGAAGACAAGTGCTGCACCGCGAGTAGTAGTGTGGAAAAGCGGGTCACTTTGCCTGAAATTGCAATATAAAAGTAAACTCATCAAAACGGAAACAACCAACAGATAACGAGGACAGAGTATCCACTTCTCACAAGTCGTTAAAATAAAACGGAACAGTTCAAAGGGGCATGAACTGGTTTCCACAACTATATGTAACGTCATCTCGATATCACAAATAGGTCGCCATGTCAACAGTCTTACTATCAACGGCATCGTAAATGGAAGATTAACGCTTACTTTGGATACTGGTGCCACACATTCAATTATCCGATCGGATGTGGTAAGAAGAACGGTTTAACCATTAGTCGGTTGCAAGCTTACGGGGAAGTGTTTTGCGAAGTGATGATTGGTACCCTGGTAGTTAATCACACCTTCATCGTAGCAGAAATCACGGATGAAATTATAATGGGAGTGGATTTCATGATTGATCACGAGATTACTTTGGATTTAAAAAAGCAAATGCTGTTTTGCCAGAACATGGAGATGCCTATAAACACCGGATATGTGACCAACGTTGAAAGTAAGAAGGTGATTGTTGATGATAATCAGAGTATTCCACCAAAATCTGAGGCAGTTGTATGGGCTAAAGTGAATGGAGGAGGTGGGACTGAGGAATTGTGGATTGTGGAACCAACAAAAATAGATACACCCATATTGGTAGGAAGAACACTTGTGAAAGCTAGAGAAGACGCTACCATTCCGGTCAGAGTAGTGAATGAATTCAACACGCCTATAAGTCTGAAGAAAGGAGCAGTAATTGGACAGTGCGAGAATATAAGTGCAATACCACGATGCGAACGGTCACAACAGATGCCTACTGTTGAGCCAGAGCAGATAAGTCCTACACTCCTAAACAATTTTCTGAACGACGTGCATGGAAATGAAAAACTAAAAGCAGAAAACTATTAGAAAAATACGCATCCATATTTGAAAACGAAGGAAACAACACAGGAAGAACCGGCATTGTCAAACATCGCATAAATACCGGAGACGCTAATCCAATCCGACAAGCTCCGCGTAGGGTTCCACTAGCAAAACGTGAGGATGCTAACAAAATTATTGAAGACATGCACAAAAACGGTGTAATCGAACCTTCAATAAGTCCATGGAGCTCACCTATCGTCTTATTTAAAAAGAAAGATAGTAACACCCGTTTCTGCGTAGATTACAGGAAGTTGAATGATGTCACAAATAAAGACAGTTATCCTCTACCGAGAATCGACGATATATTAGACACCTTGTCTGGAGCGAAATGGTTTTCTACATTAGATTTACAAAGTGGATATTGGCAAGTCGAAATTGATGAATGTGATCGTGAAAAGACCGCTTTCAGTAAGGGCGACGGGTTATGGGAATTCTCTGTGATGCCATTTGGGTTATCTAATGCGCCTGCAACGTTCGAGCGACTGATGGAACATGTGTTAAAAGGACTCGACTGGAAGACATGTTTGGTGTATCTTGATGACATTATCATCATGAGAAAAAGAAAGTTATGATGGGCATCTGAAAAATCTAGAGGAAGTCTTTCAGCGAATAGCATCAGCCGGATTACGCTTGAATCCCAAAAAATGTTCATTATTGAAGAAGCAGGTCACATATCTCGGACATAAAGTGTCAACTGAGGAGATTCACACCGAGGAGGGAAAAATAAAAGCGTTAAAGATTAGCCTCGACCCACCAACATACATGAACTCCGCTGCTTCCTCGGCTTATGCACGTATTACCCCCGGATTTGCGAACGTGGCTAGAAGTTTACATGATTTAACAAAGAAGAGTCGCCCGTTTGTCTGGCAGTTGGAACAAGAAAAAGCGTTTGAGCAGCTTAAAGAACTACTTTGTACGGCGCCGACGTTAGCTTATCCAATACCTGGAAAGAAATTCATCCTGGATACAGATGCGAGCGCTCATGGAATTGGAGGTGTACTGGCTCAGCTCATCGACGGGCAAAAAAAGTAATTGGGTATTACAGCAGAGTGCTCGGGAAACCAGAGGAAAACTACTGTGTGACTCGAAAAGAACTACTAGCTGTGGTGGAATGTGTAAAACATTTCCACAATTATTTGTATGGGCAACGATTCTTGCTGAGGACTGATCATGCAGCATTAAAATGGTTATTACTGTTTACGAATCCGGAAGGCCAAATTGCACGATGGATCGAAAGATTACAGAATTACGACTTCGAAACAGAACACCGAAAGGGGATTCACCACAAAAATGCGGATGCATTATCACGTCGCCCCTGTCCACTGGAATGTAAGCATTGCTCCAAATCAGAAGGAAAACAAGGTATAATCGACGTGCGATTACTGAATATAGAACCTGAAGATGATTGGACTCCTCACCGCATCAGAATCAATCAGCTTGAGGACCCCGATCTTGCAAAGCTGACAATAGCCAAAGCAAATGGGGTACGACCACCAAAGGAACAAATAAGTAGCGAGAGTCCAACTGCAAAAGCATATTGGGCCCAATGGAACAGCATAAACCTCGTTAATCGTACCTCGTTAATCGTACCTAGGAAGGCGAAGATGGCAAACAGTCTCGTCTGGTGATCATAGTATCGAAGTCCATGATCCCGAAAGTATTGAAAGAATATCACAATGGACCTAGTGGAGGGCATTTTGGAATTGCAAAAACTTTAGAGAAGATTAAACAACGGTTCTACTGGATTGGTTTTCTAAAGGTTCTAAAGTCAAAAGTCGCGGTAGGCTGCAACAGTACAACGTGGGATAACCGTTTGAACGAGTCGCAATGGATGTTGCAGGTCCGTTCCCAACCAGTATGGCCGGAAACAAATATCTACTGGTTGTCACGGACTATTTCAGTAAAAGGCCAGAAGTGTATGCCTTACCAAACCAAGAAGCGAAGACAGTAGCCGAAGCGTTTGTAGAAAATTGGATAACGAGATTCGGAGTGCCCATCGAATTACACTCAGATCAATGCAGGAATTTCGAATCTTCCCTTTTCCAAGAAGTCTGTACATTATTGGGCATCCACAAGACACGGACAACAGCGTTACATCCACAATCAGATGGGATGGTAGAGAGATTCAACCGTACGCGCGAAGAACATCTGCGGAAAATCGTTGATAAAGATCAACGGAATAGGGGCAAGTGCATCCAGATGTTCCTGCTGGCGTATCGTTCAGCGAAGCACGAGACAACTGGTTACACGCCAGCAAAGATTATTTTCGGATCTGATCTGCGACTGCCTGCTGATCTTAAGTTTGGAATGAATCCTGCAGCTGTAAGAAATGATGGAGATTATTGCTCTGCCTTAAAGGAAAAAATTAATGAGCTGCATCTAATGGTAATGAAGGACCAGTTTGATTAAGCGGCAAATTCAAAAGGTTTTGAAGAAGGTGATCTGGTCCTACTGTACAATCCACTTCGAATGAAAGGCTTGTCCCCGAAATTGTAAAAAGCCTGGGAAGGGCCCTATGTGGTGATGAAACGACTTAATGACGTGGTATACCGCATACAAAGAAATGGAAAACCACGATGTAAAATGAAAGTAGTACATTTGGAGAGACCATTTGGTTCAAGAGGATTTGTGGAGGGCAGTGTTACAAGAGTGGTATTAAGTTTGGTACCACTTGTATTTGTATTGCTATATGCATCCCTTATTATAAACATTGGGCGCCGCGGTTGTCTGCTTGTCTACTTGTAGCATAAACTTTAACTGTATATGGAACGTATAGCATTATGTTCTTATAATTGCCAGACGCAATGTTCTAGAAGTACATGTAGGCATTAGCGAGGAGTGCGTGGCTATATAAGCCGTGGTAGCGCCAACGTAAGGAAGCAGTGCTAAGAGTAAACTGCTATAGTGTAGACAAATTGTGAAATAAAGAGATTTTGTTAAAGTGAATTAAACGGTTTTTGGTTTTATTTGTCAATCNAATTGTGAAATAAAGAGATTTTGTTAAAGTGAATTAAACGGTTTTTGGTTTTATTTGTCAATCCAGAGATACGGACCTAGCAAAGTAAACTAGTAAGAAGTAAATTCGCAACAATATGTTAAACAGACCTACATGTGATCCTTGTTGTATTCCTGTTTTCACGTCGTAACTCTATTGTTGTGGAGACGAAGTAGTTCGTAGTAAATAGTATTAAATGAATATGTACTTTAAATTACAACTATGTACCTCTTGAAACACTGTATTCCTTTTCTATATTCTCTTTTGTTATATCCTTTTATAAACTGTAAAGACATGTTTATCCATATTGAATAAAGTCAGTCGTTATTTAACCTTAAACCTTCTCGGACCATCAGGTTATGGGCCCAGAATCCCATGTGATCGCGACCGACTGGACGATATCGAATAAAATTCAATTTAATTAAATGAAAAAATAATTTGAGACTACAGCATAATGGCTGGTATAGTAAGAATCGAGCCGCTAAACGCGGAAAATTACAATTCTTGGAAGCAGCAAATGCGGGCAATTTTAATAAAAAATTATTTGTGGGAATACGCTGATGGCGCTAAATTGTGTCCCACAGACGAGACAAAACTCTTCGAGTGGAAAAATGCTGACCAAAAGGCATTAGCGGACATTACATTGGCGATAGCGCCATCAGAGCTAGGGCTGATTTCGGAGTGCAGAAGTGCACGTGATATTTGGATAAGGTCGACATTCCAATCAAAGGGGCTAGCTAGAAAAGCAACGTTACATAAACGTGTAGCGTTGTCGCGTATGTCAGAAGACGAGAAAGTTTGAGAACACCTTAACAGGTTCTTCGATGCAGTAGCGAAGCTTAAAGAAATAGGCGTCGAAATTGGCGACGAGCTACTGACAATTTTGTTATTGTACAGTTTGCCGGCGTCATACGAGACATTTAGACGTGCAGTTGAAACGCGAGATGACCTACCGAAGCCGGACATTCTTCGTGTTAAAATTCTCGAAGAACACGAGTCGCGAAAGTCAAAATAAGACAAAGTGGAAGACAATAACGTGCTTTACATAAAGAAGAAGCAAAGCCAATCGCATGTTGATCGTAATTCGTCAAATTCAAAGGAAACAAAAAAGTGTTATCGCTGCGGTAAATCGGGACATTTCGCGAGAAATTGCAATGACAAACTACAAGAACAAAATACGTGTGTGAGTGAAGGAACAAACGAAAAGGCAAAAGTGGCTTTATGTTCAATAGAAAAAGCATTTGCCGTCCCTATAGGAAATATGAGATGGTGTTTGGACAGTGGCTGCACATCTCATATGAGTGCGAATAAAAACATTTTTGAAAGTGTTGAACTAGAGAATGACGAATTAAGTTTGGCAAATAATTGCTCAACGAAGATAAGTGGTGTTGGTAAAGTCTGCACCACAGCAAACGTTCGCGGAAAACAAATGTCTGTTGCTAAAATTACTGACAGGGGTTACGCAGTTATATTCAAAAAGAATGAAGCCGAGATTATGAATAGAGATAATAAAGTGGTATTGGAAGCCAAACGAATTGGCAATTTGTATTATTTAAACAAGTTCAAAAGATTTCGCAAATTTGGCAAATTATAAAAACAATATTGATCTGTGGCATTACAGAATGGGACACGTTAACGAACGCGATCTGAAATCAATGGCAAACGGTTCGGTATATGGTTTAAAATTTAAACAAACTGAAATACTCTCCGATTGTGAAATTTGCAAGTGAAAAGCAAGTACGTGCAACTTTTCCTAGATCAGATGGAAACAGAGTTGGCGATCTGCTAGAGATTGTGCACAGTGACGTGTGTGGACCAATGAGGTGTGAGTGCCATGGCGGTGCGAAATATTTTGTGACATTTATTGACGAAAAGTCAAGGTGGTGTGAAATATTTTTCATAAAACAAAAATCACACGGATGTTTTTAAAGAATATGAAGCCAAATTTGAGACATTGTGTAACAAGAACAACGGGTGAAGTTCCATACTGGGTATGGACCAAGAAAAATCCAACAGTGGCGTACATGAAAATATTTGGTACAATAGCATACGTTCTAAACAAAAATTCTTCAAAAGGAAAATTCGATTCGCGCGCTGAGCCATGTATATTTCTTGGCTTCTCATGCGAATCAAAAGCGTACCGTTTGTATTCAAAGACTAAAAAGTACATTATAATAAGTCGTAAAGTTCATCGATAAATCTGCTTTTGATGGAACTTTTGAAGAATTTGAGCACGAAAATGAAAAAGACGTTGAATATGAAAACAAAATGGACGTTATATTCGAGAATAGTAATACAGATAGCGAGGTCGAATGTGAGAATGAAGAGTCGGTAGACGCATCTAATTGTGAGGTAGATGTGGGTAGTAAACTACGTGGCAGAGGCCGACCATCGTATGTACGTACAGGGCAAAGGGAAAAGTGTATCGCCAATTAATCGCTAATAATAATTCAGAATAGGAGGTTACTGATCCTGACGATTTCTACGAGTGCAACGAAGCTCGTTTTATAATTCATGACCCACAAACCTTGGCAGAAGCATTGAAGTGCAAGAACGCGTCTTTATGGGTAAAGGCGCTGGAAGACGAATTTTTGGCGCATAAGAAAAACAAAACTTGGCAAATAGTTGAAAAGCCTTTGAATCGTAAAGTAATTGGTAACAAGTTTGTGTTCCAGACCAAAGATGAACCTTTAACAGTTCAACTGGTTGCAAAGGGTTATGCTCAACGACCGGGGGAAAATTTTCACGAAGTTTCCTCTCCGGTTGCACGGTCAACTTCAGTACGGCTCTTTACTGCACTGAGTACAGAGCTGGATCTCCAAATACATCAGATGGATGTGGTCACCGCATATTTGAATGGAGATCTAGACGAAAACATCTACATGTATGTTCCAGATTTACTTTTGAGTGTGTTGGAGAAAATTCAACGAGGTCAACCTCAATATAGTAGCGTGTTTGACACAGTATAGTAAAGAAAGCGTTATATGGTTTGCGACAGTCAGGGTTAATGTGGTATCACAAATTATCAGTAACTCTAAACAAGATTGGATTAAAATCAACAAAATTTGATCCATGCTTCTACGTACGTCGAGAAGGTGGTAACATTGATGCTGATTGGGGAGCAAATTCAACAGACAGACGATCATATTCAGGTTTTGCATTTATATATGCTGGGTCGTCTATAAGTTGGGAAGCTCGGAAGCAACGTACTGTTTCGCTTTCCAGTACTGAGTCAGAGTACATCGCCATAACTGAGGCGGCTAAGGAAGCCCTTTATTTGAAAGGCGCTTTGAAAGAGGTGGAAATTGACTGTGCCAGCGTAAAGTTATTCAACGATAACCAGAGTGCACAAAAGTTAGCAATATCTTCGAATTTCCACCYTCGGACGAAACATATTGATGTACGGCTTCATTTTATCCGAGACTGCGTACGAGATAAGGCAATTACACTAGAGTATATGTCAACACAGAAAATACCAGCGGACATATTCACCAAAGGTCTTACGGAACTGAAGCATAATAATTGTTCACCAAGTTTGGGCCTTATCGAATGCAATCAAGAAGACGAAGAATAAGCTCACTACTTCGAGAGGAGGTGTTGTGGAGGCGAAGTAGTTCGTAGTAAATAGTATTAAATGAATATGTACTTTAAATTACAACTATGTACCTCTTGCAACTCTGTATTCCTTTTCTATATTCTCTTTTGTTATATCCTTTTATAAACTGTAAAGACATGTTTAATCATATTGAATCAGTCGTTATTTGACCTTAAACCTTCTCGGACCATCATATATCTATCTATAACTAGATAAATGATCTTGACTTGAAATTGTCTGCCTGTTAAGTAGGAACTGATCCACTTCAAAGCGCTACCATAAATGCTGGTCGAATTTAACATGTTTAGCAAGATGCTGTGATTAACTCTGTTGAATGCTTTACTTAATTCATTACATTTACTACATCTACATATACATATATGTATACAATATAAAAGAAAGTCGTCTTAGTTACACTATTTATAACTCAAGAACGGCTGAACTGATTTTTTTTATTTTCTCCTTAGAATAAAATGAAATACAATTCATGAAGACAAAGATTATATTTCAAATAATAAGCATTTATTTAAAATTCATGTTTGCCAGAATTATTTGAATATTTTATTACTTAAAAAAACTTATAAAAATAAAAATAAAACCACATATAAGTCCCGTGGGACGTGACATAAACGTGGTAACTAGCCATTACCAGGATCCCGATGATTTCAACCGACATGCCGTTTGAGTTTAAAACTTTGAGGACGGTATGACCTACAGGTGGGTCACGAACTAAGGTTTCATCTGACAATTTTTTTTTTTAATTTTATCACTTCGTTCTTCGCGCGCACTTTGAAATCTGCTTTAACCATTTACCGTTCT